AGCTGGCCTTGGACTCACTATGTAGCCCAGGCTGGCCTTGAAGTGGCCGGGATCCTCCTGCCTCAGCCTCCTGAGTGCTGAGATCACAGGCATGCGCCACCATGCTTGGCCTCAAATGTTACTAAGTGAGGTCGACTCTGTCTGCCCGTTTAAGATTGCATCTGTCCCGCCCTCTTGCCACTGATTTCTCTTTCTTATGGCACTCATTGGTTTCTAACATTTTATAGAATTTGCTTATTTATTGGTTTGCTTGCGATTCCCTCGGGTCCCCTCTTGTACCAATAGTCACCGAAGGGTTATTCCTGCAAAATCCTCCCACCAGGGTGGGGAGACCCTCTGAAGGCCCGAGCAGTTATATGTGTCCACATTGAGATTGTGGGGCCTAGCACCTTGTCCTGGGGTACAGAGGCAGAGGCTTGAAGCCAGCCAGTGCCCCACACCCCAGGGTCGAGCGCATCTCAACCCAAATTCACTACAGTGATGGATGCAAAAGACAGGTTAACTTGGGCCTGGGATTTAGCTCGGTGGTTCTCCTGCCTGCCTCTTAAGCACAAGGTCCTGAGTGCAAACACCCTGGTACCAAAAAAAACCAAAACAAAACCCCAGATCAACTCTGTAAAGTGAGAAATAGGAGCCCGATTAGGGATCTGTTAATCAAGTGGCCAGCCCATTCTCTATAGGAAAGAAAGAGTACTTCAAGGATCAAAAAACCAGAAGAATGCTCATAATAATAATTATTATTATTATTTGTGTGTGTGTGTGTCTGTGTGTGGTACCAGGGATTGAACTTAGGACCTTGTGCTTGAGAGGCAGGTAGCAGCAGCACTGAGCTAAATCCCCAGCCCCTAATTATTATTATTTTTTGAGACAGGGTCTCTGTAATTCAGGCTGAATTTGAGCTCGTGGAGATCCTCCTGCCTCAGCTTCCTTTGTGCTCCCTAGTGTAGCATCGTGCTCTGTGATTCCCCATAACTCCATGGAGGGCTTTGTGGGATTCGCAGCCAGGTCCCTGAAGCAGATCACTGCACACATCTAGTACCAAGATATTTGGGGTCCTCGGGCCAGAAACTGTCCCTTGGGCAAGATGCAGGCAGATTCTTGGCCCTTGGTGCAACAGCCGCCCTGTCCACACATCCAGCCAGGACTTCGGACACTGCTGAGGTGTCCTTGGGGACAGTGTTCCCGGGTCTCCCCCACATCTTTCCTGCCCATTTCCGGGGCTGTTTGCCTCCGTGAACTGCCCACCTCTCCCCGAGGGTGGACGGTAAACTGGTTTAACTCTCCAGGGCTGAGCTTGTCTTAGGGGCTGGGCTTGTGTGATGTGGGGCAGCCCGGCTGCAGAGCTGATGTGCGCAGCCGCAGCCCCTTCCTCCCTGCCTTCTGGGGTTGTCGGGGACGTCTGTGACTGTAACTCCTCCACCCGAGTTTCGGAGGCCGCCTCCTCTTCCGGATGCCTTCCTGGCCCGGCCCCCGGAAAGCTGGGGTTGGGGTTCGCGTCCCTATAACTCCAGCTCTTATCTCCGCAGTGAACACCGAGAGCGAGACTGCGGTGGTGAACGTCACCTACTCCAACCGAGAGCAGACCAGGCAGTGAGTGTCCTGGGCTTGGGGCTGGGTCCCTTCTGCCCTCTGCCCTGTGCCAGGCCCGGACCACAGCGGGGGGGTGAGGGGTTGGGGTTGGGGTCCAGGAGGGCTGGACTGTGGTGAAGAGGACTTTTCAGGGGGTGTATCTCCTTTATGTCCTGTTTACCCGACCTCAGAGGTTCAGAAACTTGGAGGTTGATGGCAAAAACAGCAGAGCCTCCGGGAAGGTGGGGCCAGGGCCTTTTCTGTGTTGAAGGCGCCATCTAGTGATACTGGGGGGAACTGCAGGGTCCTAAAAAGGTTTCAAAGCAGATGCTGCCTGACCAGACCCATGGCGGGGTGGGTTTGGAACCCCGTGGCTAGCTCATGCTTTCCAGGGGTCTTGTTGGTCCCGCCGCAGCCAGTTTCTAGCTTCTTAGCTGTGTGACTGAGAAATCCCACTTCTCACCCCCTGGTACCGCACATTTTGTGGCCTGCCCACTAACCCCTAGCTGACCCTGTTCAGGGTTTGTCATCTGCTCTCGGGCTTTTCTTGCTTCTTCAACCTGCTGCCTTCTCCAACACAGAGATACTTTCTTTTTTCGTTTTCTGCAGTGCTGGGGACAGAACCCAGGGCTGGTGTGCTAGGCAAGTGCTGTCCGACTGAGTTGCATCCCCAGCCCTCCCATTCCTGTTAGATGCGTCCCTCCTGGGCTGGGAATGTGTAGAGATTCCTGCTGTCTCTGACCAGCCGGGCACCTTGGCTTAGCTTCAGAGTTGCTTGTGACTTCATTCATTCATTCACTCCAGGGCCCTCACCCAAGCTAAATCCCTACCCCTTCGTAACATTTTTTAAATTTTTTGTTGTTGTTGTTCTGAGGGTTGAATTCGGGACCCTGTGCTTTCGAGGCAGGCTGTGGCACCACTGAGCTAAATCCCTGGCCCAACATTTTTAAAATTTTGAGACAGAGTCTCATTAAGTTACCTGGGCTGGGTTGGTACTTCCTGCCTCAGCCTCCCAGAGTGCTGAGATTGCCAGGCTCAGCAGACATAAAAACAGCAGACTCTTAGCTCATCCCTCCATTTGACACGGGATTCTCAGAAATCTTGTGAGATATGCAGTTTTATCTGAGACCCACAAGCCAGCTGGACAAAGAGCAAGGGAGTCAGAGCAGCCCTAACAATGCTGAACTTGTTTCCAGTCTCAAGGCTTTCTTCAAAGCTGCCATAACCGGAGGATTATTTACAGGCTCACGGTAGACGTGTTGGGACAGGATCGAGAGCCTAGAAACAGGTCTAGCCGAGGCCTTGGTGGTTGTCAGTGCTCAGTTTCCTCTAGCAGGAAGTGTCAGTGCCCCTTCCCTCTGTCCCCAGAGCCATCATGAAGCTGAACGGCCACCAGCTGGAGAACCATGCCCTCAAGGTCTCCTACATCCCCGATGAGCAGATCTCTCAGGGGCCCGAGAATGGGCGCCGGGGCGGCTTTGGCTCGCGGGGTCAGCCCCGGCAGGGTTCGCCAGTGGCCGCAGGGGCCCCAGCCAAGCAGCAGCAGGTGGACATCCCACTCCGGCTCCTGGTGCCCACCCAGTACGTGGGCGCCATCATCGGCAAGGAGGGCGCCACCATCCGCAACATCACCAAGCAGACCCAGTCCAAGTGAGTCCGAGGCGGGGCTGGGGCCAGTGCCCGGGCAGGGGTGTTGAGACCCTCTCTCAATTAATCAACCAAAGGGTTCTCTGATGTCTCTAATGACCGGAAAGTGTCACCAAAAGGCTCCGTAAACAAACCCAGACCTGAGAGTCAGCCTGATTGTTACTGGTGGCCCCAAGGCTGGGAAAGTGGGGGCCGCCATCCAAGGCCATAATGGGGTGCCGTCTCCCATTCTAGCACAGCACCCCCTTTCTCCAGCCATAGCTGCTCAGCATGCTCTGCGGGACAGACGGGTCACATCCCGTCCTTGTTCGTAATAATGCATCGGTTTACTTGCTGTTGGGACAGTGTCTTCCAGTTGCTGCTGGCAGCCCCTGCTCACCCCTGCCCGGCCCCATGGCCAGCGGTCATCACCTCTCCCTGAACCTTCTTTGCCCCGGCAGTTTTGTCCTTGACCATTGTTCCGCCAAGAAGAGAGGGCTCTGTGCCTTAGACAGGGAAGAGGCCCTGTCTGGGAGCTAACTGGCTCTGTCCGTGGTGCAGGATCGACGTGCACAGGAAAGAGAACGCAGGCGCAGCTGAGAAGGCCATCAGCGTACACTCCACCCCCGAGGGCTGCTCCTCCGCCTGCAGGATGATCCTGGAGATCATGCACAAGGAGGCCAAGGACACCAAGACGTAAGGATCCACCGTGCTGGGCCTCAGGGACTGCCAGCTCCTCACACAAGCACTTGCTTTTGGATTTGAGGTCCTCCTGCATCAGCCTCCTAGTTGCTGGGATTATAAGGGTCCATGACCAGGACTCTCCCAGCTCCACCCACATTTTAATAGCAATAATAATGCAGAGATTGTCAGACACCTGAGGGGTGGTGAATGTTTAAACTTAAAATTTACTACAGTAGGGCCGGAGATTTAGCTCTGTGGTTCCGCTGCCTGCCTCGAAGGCGCAAGGTCCTGAGTTTGATCCTTGGCACCAAAAAAAAAAAATTATTACAGGAAAAGAAACATTGCCATTAATTCCCCTCTAAATACTTCCTTGTCGTTCCTGATGCTTTCTGAACCAGTTCCGGAAGTCCTCCTTCATGAACATCTTTGTAAGATGTGATAAAAAATACAGTGAATGCTGCTGCTGAGTGCCATCTAATGGAAAGCCAGGCTGGAAAACCACATCAGTGGCCTCATCCAGCATATTCACTGGTACTGTGCAACTTTGGCTTTTCCCAGTCAGAATTACCAGGAAAGGGAATTGTTTTGAATCAGTTCCTGGATATCGAGGCAGTCGCAGTGACAAGACTAAAGACTTTAACAAAAGAGGACTTCCAGAGCTGCTTCGGAAAGTGGCAAGAACAGTGGGACAAATGTGTTTAAAGAGAGGGCGGTAGTCATGGGAGGATTTGTAACAGTATTTTTTTTTGTTTTTGGTACCGGGGATCGAACAGGTCCTTGGGCTTGTGCAGCAGGAGGCGAAACCACTGAGCTAAATCCCCGGCCCAAGACAGTGTGTTTTTTACTGTAATGAATTTTTAACTTTTTTTAAGACAGGGTCTTGCTTTGTACTCCAGGGTGGCCTCGAACCCACTATGTAGCCTGGCTGGTCTCTAACTTGCAGCAATCCTGCCTCAGCCTCCCGAGTGCTGGGATCACAGGTGTGCACCACTGTGCCTGGCCTTAAATTTTTAAAATTCAAACAGTTACTCTTTTTGTTTTGTTATTTATTTATTTATTTACTTACTTACTTATTTTGGGGGGTGTAGTGGGGATCGAACTCTGGACCTTGCACCTGCGAGGTAGGTGGTGGAACCTCTGAGCTAAATCCCTGGCTTGTTTTGTTATTTTTGAGACAGTCTCCTTTGCAGTGAAGGTTGGCCTTGAACTGGCTGTGTAGCCTGGGCTCCCCTCAAACTCACAGCGATCTTCTTGCCTCAGCCTCCCCAGTGCTGGGATAATACGCATGTGCCATCACACTGGGCTGTTTCTTCTTTCTTTCTTTTTCATTTTTTAGACAAGGTCTGCTGTGTAGCTCAGGGTGGCCTTGGACTTGTGGCAATCCTCCTGCCTCAGCCTCCTGACTGCTGAGATTTCTTCACCCATACTGTTTTTTGCGGGGAGGTACTGCGGATCGAACTCAGGACCTTGAAGCCTGCACTTTGCTACATTACGATGTACAACGTATAATACATGTTGGCAACGTCACCCTTCAGACAAAGCAGTGACCCCTAGTTTCCTTGGGCCCCTGGCCGGCCGTCCTCCGCCCTGTTTCTCTATCCCTCGGCCACCACGGACTCACTGGCTTTTGTATCTGACACTTGCGTCCTGGAAGTGGGGGTGGCCTGGTGGCTGAGCCCATCTCCGCCGTGGAAGGAGCTCTCATCCCCCATGTCTTTCGCAGGGCTGATGAGGTCCCCCTGAAGATCCTGGCCCACAATAACTTCGTGGGGCGCCTCATCGGCAAAGAGGGGCGCAACCTGAAGAAGGTGGAGCAGGACACGGAGACGAAGATCACCATCTCCTCGTGAGGCCCACGGGTCCCTGCTGGGGGTGGCACACAGGGTGGCGTAGGGCACGTCTCTCACCTGCAAGCCAGAGCTGGCCCGTCCTGCTGCTGTGCTGGGCGGGGCTGAGAGCGGAGCCCCTCTGTCCTCTCCGCAAACATCGTCACTGTCGTCTGCAACATGAGGGCAGCCTGCAGCCCGGTCCTTGTCCCCACGAGGGCTGGGCTGCTCTTCAGTGAACTGACGGGGGGTTAGCGCGTCTGGAAGCCCTGTGGCCTCTTAGTCTCGCAAGGCACAGGCAGAGGATGGCCTCTGGGGACGCTGGCTGCCCCAGGCTTCCTGCCCAGTGGGTGCCCATAGCGTGCCCATGATCGGCTTTGTTCGAACACAGCGGCTGCACACGGGCGTTGTTGCCTGTTGCCCTGTGCCTCCCTCCTTGGCCTGGTAGCCAGCGGCATCCAGAGCTTGGAGATGGGGAGTCACCACCAGAAGTTAGGCAGCCTAGACTGGGCACAGTGTCGGTGGCATACACCCGAGGCTGAGGCAGGAGGACTGCTGAGCGTTCAAGGCCAGCCTGGCTACAAAGCGAGACCCTGTCTTTAATGAAAAGAGAAGTTAGGCACCCTGGGGCCCAGCTGGCCTGGCAGCTGGTAAAGTCCCAGCGGCCCCATCTCCACCAGGCTGCAGGACCTCACGCTCTACAACCCCGAGAGGACCATCACAGTGAAGGGCGCCATCGAGAACTGCTGCCGGGCGGAGCAGGAGATCACGAAGAAGGTCCGGGAGGCCTACGAGAACGACGTGGCCGCCATGAGTGTGAGTGGGCCCCTCAGCCCCCCCCCCCGACAGGCCCCGCCCGGCCCGGAAGCGCTTGATGTGGTGGGGAGGCCGCTGCACCTGGGTCTCACAGGTTGCTGTGGTTGGGGTTCGGTGCAGGCGTCAGAGGTCATCTTCCTGTAAAAACAATGATCATTTTCCTGCAAATGTGGCCCTCGTGTGAAAGTGGTGATTTCCGTACTCCTCAGTGTTGAAGGTCCCTGATTTTCATTGGAGTTTTTTGGTTTGTTTTAGAGGCAACAGGGTCTTGGTCCTGTAGTTCAGGCTGGCTTTGAATTCACTGTGAAACCCATGCTGGTCTCGAAGCCTCAGTGATCCTCCTGCCTCAGCCTCCCGAGTGCTAGGATAGCAGGCATGCGCCACCACGCATGGCATGGGTTTTTGGTCTTTGGTCTCAGGAGACAGGGTCTGTCTATGTGGTCCAGCCTGGCCTTGAACTCACTGTGTAGCCCAGGCTGGCTTTGAACTTGTGGTGATCCTCCTGCCTCAGCCTCCTGAGTGCTGGGATTACAAGTGTGGACCACAGTGCCTGGCTCCACATGTGTGAGAAAGTAGGCAACCACAGTCCGGGTAGGTTCTGACCCAGGGGGTGCTGTCCTCGAACAGGGCCCCATGCCCCCTGGGGACTCCCCCTGCTTGTTTAGCCAGCGCCACACGGAGGCCTTAGCCCTGACCTTGACCTGCGCCTTGCCTCTCTGCAGCTGCAGTCACACCTGATCCCCGGCCTCAACCTGGCCGCCGTGGGGCTCTTCCCGGCCTCATCCAGCGCTGTCCCGCCACCTCCCAGCAGTGTTTCAGGGGCTGCTCCCTACAGCTCCTTCATGGTAGGTGGGGGCCCCGGCTCCCACCCGCATCTGGCGCCCTGGAAGTTGGCAGGGAGGGAAGGGAGGCCCAGGGCCCCTTCACTGCTTCTGCCACTGGCTCTTGCAGAGCCCCCAGGAGCTGCCTGGTGAGGTGGTGCTTTGCGTGGTGCCTGCCTCTTGCCCTCTGGCCTGGCTGGGCCCAGGTAGCGCTCAAGGGCTCGTGGCGCCTCTGGCAGCCCAGGGCCTTGGGGGTCCTAGCTCGTCCCTCAGTGGTAAGGTGCCCCTGTCCTGCAGCAGGCCCCGGAGCAGGAGATGGTGCAGGTGTTCATCCCTGCCCAGGCCGTGGGCGCCATCATTGGCAAGAAGGGGCAGCACATCAAGCAGTTGTCACGCTTTGCCAGCGCCTCCATCAAGGTACCAGTATCCCCGGGGGTCTCTTTACCCTGGGCCTTGTGGTCTTCTTGTTTACGACCTTGCCGGGTCCCCTGTGGGCTTCCGGGATGGGCTGGAGCAGGTCTGTGTCAGCCCCGCCCTGTTGTCACCCCACAGTGATCTGTGCTCCCCCAGCCTCATGGGCACCCAGGAACCCAGGCACCTGAGCCCCAGGGTGAGAGGGCGGGCGGGAAGACTCCTGAGTCCCCTGTGACTGCCCATTGCTTTGTAGATTGCACCACCGGAAACACCCGACTCCAAGGTTCGAATGGTCATCATCACTGGACCGCCAGAGGCACAGTTCAAGGTGACCGTCAGTATTCATTCTCCTGGCTGGAAAGGTCACGGCCACTTCTCTTGGCTGCCCTCTGTCCCTTGGTCAGTTACCATTCAGGGCCTCGACATGCTGTGCATGGCTGTCATCCTGCCCCCCGTAGGTCTGGTTGGTAGACTCGGGATTGTGTCCTGGGCAGCGTTTATTCAGTTGCCTGGGTCTCTGGGACAGCAGGTAGGCAGGAGACAGCATGATCACAGGTGTGTCTCCTCCCAGGTCAGGCTGGCCAGGGGCTGGCGCTTGGGGTCTCTCCCCTCGGGTCACTCCTATGTGGCAGCCTGATTAGCAAATGCCTCCTCTCCCAGGCTCAGGGAAGAATCTATGGCAAACTGAAAGAGGAGAACTTCTTTGGTCCCAAGGAGGAAGTCAAGCTGGAGACCCACATACGGGTCCCAGCCTCTGCTGCAGGCCGGGTCATCGGCAAGGGTGGCAAAACGGTGAGCCTGAGGGCCGGGCCTGCTCTGGCCTCCTGCCTCCTTGCCCTTCTTCACTGTGGGGCTCCCTACTTGCCTGGGCTCAATGGCCGGCTCTTCTACCGGGCCCCTTCCCTACCCCTCTGCCTCCCCTCCTCCCTGCTCTTCTTGTGCATGAACCAGGGCGGGGACATGCCAGGCAAGCCCTCTACCTCTGAGCTGCACCCCCAGCCTGCAGCATGCTTACTGGGTAGCACCCTGAGCTCCTCTGGCCACCCCTAGGTGAATGAGCTGCAGAACTTGACGGCAGCTGAGGTGGTGGTCCCTCGAGACCAGACCCCAGATGAGAACGACCAGGTCGTTGTGAAGATCATCGGGCATTTCTATGCCAGCCAGGTACCCACAGGACCCATCTCGGGAGGGAGGCTGGGGATGGGAGCAGAGAGGTGAAGGCTGCGGAGGTTCACCGTGGCCTCCCCAGCACTGTGATTACAGGCACCTGTCGCCATGCCCGGCTCGGTTTGGCAAGCTTCGTGTTTCACATATGACTGCATGTGTATGTATATAATCATTATATTGTCGTAGGTCACACATATATTAATGGCCTTCCTGTTTCTCTAAGCTTAGTCCCCCCGAACCCCCTTTTTGCACTGGATGCAAAAGAAAGTATTGTCCAGCACGAGGACGGTAACCATAGTAATGCCCCAGCTCTCACTTTCGAGTGTGGTCCCCTTTGGTCCCTTTGTCTTTCCCAGAACCTCTGCTCCCGATTCTTCCCCCCTCCTGTGCCCTTCCTAGGGCAGATGCCAGGGCCTGCAGGGCAAGGCCAGTATCGGCTTCAGATTTTGCTAGACTCCAGCAAGTCGAGAACAGGGTGACTGCAGGGAACGGGGTTCTCCTAAAATCTGAGCTCCCCGGTGTTACAACCAGAAGCCCAGCTAGAACCTTATTCCAAGGGAAGAAAGATTTAAGAATGAAGGAGTACAGATCCTGACCCCTGGTACAGTGTCCATTCCACAGCTGAGCTAGTTTATCTCACCGCCCTTGTCAGGCCGCATGTGGGCTTTTCTTCCCCGCCTGGAGTGCTGAGCAGTGGCCTTGCCATGGTGCATTGAGCCTCTGGGCCAGTGTGGGTGTATTTCCGCCCGGAAGCCCTCACTTCCGGATCTGTGACCCTCCCTGCCTGTTCTTGCCATCGTAGATGGCTCAGCGGAAGATCCGAGACATCCTGGCCCAAGTAAAGCAGCAGCACCAGAAGGGACAGAGCAACCAGGCCCAGGCGAGGAGGAAGTGACCAGCACGTTCTCATCCCCTAGGCTTCGGGACACGGGCCGAGCCTGAAGAGCCTGCTGTCCCCTGCAGGCCTGAGAATGCGTGGGAATCAGGGACCCTGGGGCCGGCAGGAGATCAGGTTTGCCCACCTGCTTGACAAAGCTGTTTGGTGAGGAACCCTGATCTCTGCCTCAGTAAGATATCTGACCAACCAGCCCAAGCAGCCCATCCCTCGGGTGTCACCATGGAAACTAGCTCAGGGTGCTTTTAAACGTGGATTGTTGAAGGAAGTTCTCCAGGCCCCATCAAGAAGGTGGGGTCAAGCCCCCTGGGGACGAGAAATAAAATTTCCTTCAGGTTTTTAAAAACCTCAAAGGATGGTTTGTTTCTTGACCCTAAAATCTTTCCAGCTTTCTTTCCCCTCCTTGGTTAATTGAGTAAAATACCTCCAATCTCCTTCCTGGGTACCACTTCCTCCTATGTTCACGCTGTTTTATCTTTACTGCTACCAGAAAAACATGGGAACTAATTAGTGCAGCGTGGCCTTAGTACAATACCAAGTCTGTGGAGAGGACTTGTCCTCCAGAGCTCAATTTCAGTCTTTCCCAATAGGAACCACAGAAAATAAAAGAGAGGGGAGGCCGGGCGTGGTGGCGCATACCTGTCATCCAGCACTCAGGACGCTGAGGCAGGATTGCTGCGAGCTTGAGGGCCAGCCTGGAATAGTGATCCCCTCTCTCAAAATCAACAAAACAAAATTAGAAGAGGGGGGAGAAATGGGAAGAAAGATGATTAAAATAAATAGTAATCCACGTTTAAAAGGAGTGCCCTTGGCCTGGGGATATAGCTCAGTGGTCCAGCACTGCCTAGCAGCTGCGAGGTTTTCATCCCCAGCACCACAAAAAAGAAAAGAAAAAAAAGGCCTGTCCTGTGGGCCAATCTAGACCACACGGCCACTGTTTTGGAAAATTGGCACAACTCAAATCTGCCCCAGTCTGCCCGGGCCTCCCTGCCACATGCAAATCCCTTGCACCCGGGGGTCCGGCTTGGTGTCGGGCGTGGGTGGCACTGAATGCCCGGCAGGGTGGGCAGGGGCTCGCCGCTGTCCCTGATTCCCATCATTCTCAGGAGGATTTTATATTTTTTTAAAGTCTATTTTAATGATTGGATGTGAGCACTGGGAAGGGGACCTGAACTCCCCTTGATAAAGTCTCAGCTCCGCGGAGGATTCGAGGGGCCCAAAGGAGCCCTCGCCCCAGCCCACATGCTGCCGGGAGGCGAGGGTCGGGGGGCCACCCTCCACCACAGCACTGTTTGCCTTGGTGGTGGTGGGACGATGCACCCGGCCCCGGCCTCCCGGTCGAGCTAAAGTCCATCATCTGGCAAATTCAGTCAGTCGGAGAGAATTTGCTTCTGTTTTTAATCCTAGAGGAGTATTTAACTGATGGCTTCTGGCTCTGTGAATTCTTAACTGTCGTGGTGAATGGTGTGCCTAGAACAGAATTCCAAATACCAGCAGCATGATGCATAGAGAGGGGGTGAATAAGATTAATTTATTGATTTATCAGGCTCAAGATCCTGCCGGAAGTTCTGCCCTTGAGGAGAACGGGAGCCATCGGTTAAGTGATCCTAGGGCTCTGTGATTGTCAATGCATGTTACCAGGTGGTGCACTTTAGCTACCCTGGACAGAACTATCAAGTGTGCTCGGAAAGGAGGAGGCCTCTCCTCCTAATGCTGCAGCAGCAACAGTGACCACGAGACAACCATGACGTGTGGGTGGTGGGTGTCAGGCAATGCTGTGTGTGAAGTAAACTACCTCAAGGTATGAAGTTACCTCAGCAATTGTTTTCCTTTTTGTTCCCCTCAACCCTCTTTTTTTGTTTCATTTTGTTTTGAATTTTTTTGATGGTTTTTTTTTTTTTTTTCCTTTGCGGCTTGCTGATATTTTATATAAAAAAGAAAAGCAAAGCAAAAAGAGAAGCTGATAGTCTTGAATATTTTATTTTTTTAATGAAAAGAAAAAAAAATGAGAAAGTTATGTTGCATAATTTCTTACGATGTGAGCCAGTCACCCTTTAAGAATGCCCGACTGGACAGCAGGCCGGTTGGGAAGGGCAGCAGGGCTGGGCCCTCGGGTGAGGCTGGGGTAGAGATGGAGGCCCAGGCTTGGGAGGCCCCAGGGACAGGGCCCAGAGCCTTGCTTGGCCCTGGCTCTGGCTCTGGGCCCGCTCCTGGAATATCTGCCTGCCTGACAGGGTTAAAAGGCCTCTTGGGCCTTGGGAACCCGGGCCCCAAACCACCAACCGCCTGGCCCTCGGCCTCCCTCTTCCTCCCTTGGTTTAATGGCATCCCAGCCGGTTTTTCGCTCCAGTGGTGCCATTGTGATATTTTGAAATATTGCCTCCGTTTTATCGAGGAGAGAAATAATAACTAAAAAATACACCCTTTCAAAAGAAAAAAAAAATCTCTCTGCCTAAAAATAGGAGAGCCAAGATTTCGTTCACAGGAGAAGGACAAGGCCGCCTCTCGGCCGCAGAGGGGCTCACTGCTTTGCCGTCGAGGTCCTTTCCTCGTTGACTTGGGTTACGGTGTCATTTGGGTCCCGTCTTGCTATTCTTGGTCTATGCCCACCGACAGGGGGTGACTGACCGCCCCAGCTCCCTGTCATCTCCAGATCTCTTGATTGACTCTGAACGTGGACCCCTACTTAGGAAATTCTTGATTTAGGGTGACAGCTCGGGAGAGGAGGGAGGGGTGGGAGTGCCACAGGTGCCTGCCTTCCCATGGTCTCGGCACTGACCCAGTGACGTCCTCTCGTAGCCCCCGGAACTGGAGAAGCAAGATAGCATTTAGGGGTGATGTCCAGCCGATAGAAGAAGCCCCCCACCATTCCCAGCCACAGAAAGGGTCTCCCTCCCAGCTTCTTTCCATCTCTGGCTCCGCGCTTTGTCCCAAAATGAAGCAGATAACATTCAGACTTCGGCCGTGTAGTGATTTAAAGTGGATTTTCAGCAGCAAGCAAGCTTTAATATCTGGTTCAAATGATCATTAGGAAAGAAGAAGGAAACCCCACAGTACCTGAAATGTGATTGTTGCAGTATTAGGTTCCTCGGGGGCCTGCACCCTCACACCTTAACGTGTTCCCGACCAGGCCGGCCATGCACGCCTGTCCCACCCAGGGCCCTGTCCCATGTCGCCTAGTGGGACCCTTACACTGCGCCACCCAGGGCTGGTTGGAGCCGGTGGGACCGTGTTAAGCCCGGGTCCTCTTCCTTTGGCTCCTTCAGCTCCCAGAAGAGACCAGGAAGGGGAGAAAGGAACGGACAGCTTCCTGGAAGTGGGCAACCTCCACTTGTCACTGAGGTTTGCCCGCAGGAAGCTGGTGGAGGTTTGCTACCTACCAGCAGGCTGTAGGAACAGGGCTTAGTGGCTTGGGTGTCACAGGAGGAAGGGCCATCCGGGCGCGGGTTCTCCTGTAACCCGAAGCCAGATCTTAGGGCGTCTCCTGCCCCCATCCTTGGTGAGATACAAGCTGTCACGAAAGCACTTGGGAGAGGCGGGTGGTTTTGAGAAGAGCAACTTTCTGAGATTCGTGTGTGCGCGCGCTGCACATATATTTTTGTGAGAGGACCATCTCTTTAGGATATATTTTTTAAACTCTTTGAAACACATAGAAAGCCAAAACGGTTTGATTCACTGACTGACTTTGAAGCTGCATTTGCCAGTTGCACCCCGATGGCTTTAACCCACCCCCCTCGAGGGCCTGGGTGCCTCGAGCATTAGGCAGAGGGCCCGGAGGAGAGAGCCAGTCCCTGAGCGGACAGGGAGTGTAGCGCCCCCCTTCCTCCCGGTCTCCATCAGTCTGTTTTCCTTTTTTCTTATTTACGCCTCACTGTTGGCAGCATAGACCCCGTGTGAGACCCAGAGGACACGGGAGGGGTTCTCGGGGGTTCTGGTGTCTGTCTCCACTGTGCCAAAGACAGACAGACAGACAGGCTGGAAGTCATCTGCCACCATCTTCCCAGGGAGGGGCCTGGAAATAGGCAGCCTCGGGCTCCTGTTCCCCTGGGAGCCAGAAGGGGGGTCCAGGTCAGTTGGCTGTGGTTGCACTTTGGGGAAGGGGGGGGCTCGGGTCCTCCTCATGGGTCCCGACCCCTGTTCCCCTGCAGGGCTGGCACTGCAGAGTTCCCTTCAGGCCCGGCAGACTGGCGGTGAGGAGGGGCCTCCGTTGACTCTCCAGGGTGCCTTCCCCTCCTCCGTGCCCAGAATACCCTCTGCCAAACCGGGAATCGCTGCTTAACTACCTCACGGAGCCCCCGGGTGCCACCTCAGGCCACCCCTTCCTCCACCTCTGCTTGGGGGGGTGTTGGGGTCTCCTCCTTTCTTTCTCCTCAAGTGCCCCTGGGGAGGTGCTAGTGGCTTTGCCATGTAAACCGTGAGACTGTTTGGTTGGAAACCAGGGCAAGGGAGACAGCACAGCCTGGCATGTGATTGCAGAAAGACTGAAGAAAACTCCTCATGATGTCAGGGGACGTCAAAGCCATTTCCCTCCAGTACTCCATGGTGTAGATGCAGATGTAGAGGAACACCAGCCGGAACTTCGGGTTCTTCCCCCTTGGGTACAGGGGAGGGGAGGGGCCTCGGACCCAAGCTGGGTGCCCCGGCCTGGGGTCCAGGCTCCGGGCTTCTCTGTGGGGCTCAGCCTGGGGGTGCCCTGGTAGGGTGGGATCCAGACTGACATAGACAAAAGAGAATTTTTTTTTTTCTGAAATGAAATAGCAGGAAGCTCCTCATGAGCCCATGTTTTGAGTGACCACAGGCAAAGAGAGCTATGAGTTTGAATGGATTAACTACCTCAGTCTTACAGTAAGGTTGGAACCGAGGGCTGGGACGCCTGTGAGCATGGGGGGGTCCCAGCTAGGAGAAGCGAGTTGAGGCTCGTGCCACAAAAGGTTTGTCTTGGGGCCCGGGCAGGCCTGCCAGGGTCCCTGCTCCTGGGGGTCAGTGGGCAGGGCTGGCCGTGATGTCCCCTCCCTGCCTCCTGGCTCATTTCAGCCCTCTCCCTCCAGCGAGTCCCTCTCACTGTGAGGAAAGGGTGGCCTTCTCCCAGGGCCCTCGGGAGGTGACCTCGGAGAGGGGAGGAGAGGGAGCAGGATTCTTTGCCCTGGGGGACCCCGAGGGTCCCCGGACGCCCCCAGGCCACCTTTGTAGTGGGGGAGCCCCTCCCCGCCCTCTAATGGACCTCCTCATAGACCCCCTTTTCTCTTTTGTTTTTATCTACCTCTTAGCAAAACAATAGAGAGAAATTAGGTAGTGGCTAAACACCACTTGCTTAGGTTAGAGGGGGGAAGATTTCTTTTTCCAAAGGAAAAAAAAATTACCTTAAAAATACTTTCCAAAAAGTTTTTTTAAAAAACCAAAAAAAAAAGTTTTTTTGTTTTTAACAAGAGGGATACATTTTCCAGTGACCACTGGATTGTTTTAATTTCCTAAACGTTTCTCTCTTTTGTTCCCCCGTAAATAAGTTTCACTCTTTGGTGATTTTCATTTAACGAGCTAGCTACAAACAGGTACAGCTTTGCCAGTCCGCCCCTTGGCTTGCTGAATGTCCCAGCCATGTGACCGCCCCCCAGGCAGGGCCAGAAGCCTCTGTGTGTGTGTGTGTGTGTGTTGGGGACACTGTGAAGTCTGGCTCACCGTGTCTCGGGGCGGGGGACCACTTGGGACATTTCTGTGCAGATTCTCTGTAAGCCACTGCTAGGAAGGGCGCTCAAAAATGAATTTGGGCACCAGCATTTGGACTCTCCCTTTTCCTCCAGAACAAGAACTTCATCCTTGCAGCCAGAATCAGTCAGAAACTTGTCCCCTGAGGCAGAGGGGTCAGTATGTAGTCCTGGAGCGAGAAGTCTATTTTTATGACTTTGAATCGGGAGGGGCAGGGGACTACTACTTGTGACTTTTTTTGAAAACTGAGTGCTACCTTGTTCTGTAACGATGCTGACTCTGAACATTGTACTGTACGGAAACCTGCCAGCCATTGCCACCCCAGTGTGATTGTACCTTCCTCCTCCGCCCTTGAATCTCTGCGCATCCTGGGGAGGTGGGGTGGCACCTGGCTCAGACCCGGAGTCTGTTCTCCAGATGATGAGCACCCTGGTTTTCTTCTCCCAGAAGTTTGTTTTCAGCCACAAACCAGTTCATTCCACTGTTTCAATTGCAAAATAAAAGGAAACTTATATTAAAAGCTCAGTGTGTCTGTCTCAGGAAGGATTTGGGCGGCGGGGGGTGGGGTGGGGTGGGGGGTGTCTGGGAGCTGAAGTGTTTAGGCCTTCGGGGCTCAGCCCAGCCCCCAGGGCTCTGGCTACCAGTGAAAGCAAGTCCCCCAGATACAAAGTACCATTCCTGAGCTGGGTAGGTGATGCATGCCTGCCATCCCAGCACTCAGGTAGGCTGAGGCAGGAGGATTGCTCAAGGTCGAGGCCAGCACAGGCTACGTGACCCTCCTGTTTCTTCCATAGGTTACAGCTTGGCTAAATAAAGTCAGGCATCTGTGCTTCTGTTTGGGGTCACGGAACCATGCTTGGTGATGAAGACCACCCCTGTCCTGGCCCACGCAAAATGGTCACCATGGTGATGGTAGTGCTTCGCTGTGTAGCCCAGACTGGCCTCGGCCCTGTGGTGACTCTCACTTTCCTGCCTCAGTCTCCTGAGAGCTGTGATAATGGAGTGTCCCCCCACTTCAGGCTCATTCTCGAATGACTTGAGTCCGTCTTCAGCTAGACAAGGAGCAGATCAGCTCCCAGCTTGGGGGGACAGAGTTTTATCTTGAATGTTGGCAAGAGAAGGGCCGAACAGAGACAGACCAAAGAGAAAGACCCTCTGCTGTCCCAAAGATCCTGGTGACTCGGAGGATTGTAAGAGAAGTCCACACAGCAGTAAACTTGTTTTCCCCTCTGGTGCTAGTGGTCGGCTGAACCCAGGGCCTTTCCATTGCACTACATCCCCGGGCTTTTATTTAGAGACAGGGTCTACCTGAGCCACTCCATGTCCAGGTGAGTTGAGTACCAGCAGTAGGGGCCGGGGATTTAGCTCAGTGGTTTCGCCGCTTGGTACGCAAGCGCAGGGACCCAAGTTCCATCTCCGGTACCAAAAAAAGGGAAGGGCCTGAGGTTGTAGCTCAGTGCAAAGGCCGAGTTCAGTCCCGAGCACCCACCCACCCACCCCCATCACTCCAAAGATACCCCATGAGGAGCTCAAGTCTCCGGGGTAAGGGCAGCGAGGGCAGTGCAGAGCTGTGCACAAGGCTTTCCGGCTGGGAGCGACAGAGCTTTCGAAGCCAAAGGGAGCGGCTCATCTTTGCATCTGGGAGTTCTGCGAGGCGCCTGCAGGGGGCGTCGTGCGCCACACACCGGACCGGAAGGTAGGCGGGAACGGCCAAAGCCGCTGTGCCACAGGTACCGGGCTCCACATCCAGGCATCCCTCTGTCTCGCTATGTATTCCAGGCTGATCTTGAACTCACTGCGATCCTCCTGCCTCGGCATACTGAGTCCTCGGATTACAGGTGTACACTGGTATGCCCAGTTTAAGAACATACTTCAAACTGATACTTGAAAATACTAGAAAATCTGAAATTTATTACCAGCTGTTAGAGAACACAAAAAACGAAAGCTCATTAATTTAGTCTCTAAAATTAAATAAAAATTAAAATCTAGTTTTAGAAGCTAAAACATTTTTAAAAAATAACAAATGAGATGCCTCACAAGTGCAAGGTCCCGAGTTCGATCCCTGTAACCAAAAAAAAAAAAATTCCAATGTATTTAAAAAATATACTTAACATCTGCTTCCTATACAAACATTTGATACACAAGTGCTTTTATAACATGATTAATACTGTAATTCATATTAGGTCAAATAGACTGCTTGCTGGCTATTGGACAGCCTCATTAAAATCAAGAAGTTAGCAGGGCGGTCTGGAATTTAGCTCAGTGGTTCTGCTGCCTGCCTCATAAGCACAAGGACTCGAGTTCGATCCCCGATACAAAAAAAAAAAAAATTAGCTGGTAGAATGCAAGATATATTAAATTAATAATTCAATATTAATAACTAGAGCTCACTATTGGGCAATCCACTCATAGATTTCTCTCACTGAAGACTGAGGTCTGGAAAGCCAATCTAATTGAGAGATGATTTATAAAGCAATTGATGAAATCTGATTTTTTAGCTGGATATGATGGTACACACCCATAATCCCAGCATCCTAGCAGGCTGAGGCAGGAGGATTGCAAGTTAGAGTCCAGCCTGGGCAAATTACTGATTCAGTGAAAACCTGTGCCAAATTTTTAGAAAGGCAGGGGATGTAGCAGTACAAAGCCCTGAGTTCAGGCCTGGAACACTCAGGCACATTCCAGCCACTTGTTCGTGTCTTTATTTATGGCACTAAGGATTGAACCCAGGGCTTTTGGGTTTTGGTTTTTGGTTTTTTTGGTATCAGGGATTGAACTCTGGACCTTGTGCTTGCGAGGCAGGCAGTGGAACCACTGAGGTAAATCCCTGGCAAACCCAGGGCTTTGGCACTAAGCTACCTTCCAGTCCCTGCCCCCTTTTTGGAGCCAGGTCTGGCTACATCACTGAGTTGCCCAGGCTGAGCTCTAACTTGCAATCCTCCTGCCTCAGCCTCCCAAAGTGCTGTCCCAAGGTGCACCTGGCTTGGGCATGTCTTTTGCTACTGGGTGTGGAAGTGCCTGGTGACAGGGGATGTGAGTGACACTCGCCTGTTGCCCTGCAATGTATGACAGTTCATGTTGGTGCCGGAGTCAGAGATGAAGGGAAAGGGCCGCTTCAAGCTAGGAAAAGCACGCTGTCCTTGGGTCCCTGCTCCGTGCCCTGGAAAAACCAAGCTCTGTCCCTCTGACCCGGGTGGTGACCACAGGCCACTCCCTCTGGCCACCCCCACAGTCAGGAGTCCAGAGAGGGCCTGAGGTCCAAGAGGCAAGGAATGACTTTTTATTCATTGATTTGATTGGCTGACTTTCGGGGGGGGGGTATGGGGAATTAAAGTTGGGACCTTGGGCTTGGGAGGCAGGCGGCAGAACCATTGAGCTAAATCCTCAGCTCAACCTTTTTTTTTTTTGAGTCAGAGTCTTGCTGTGTAGCCCAGGCTGACCTTGAACATCCAAAGATCCTCCTGCCTCAGCCTCCCAAATGCTGGGATTAGAGATGTACACCACCATCCTGGCTGTAAGGAGTGACTTCAGAGGGACATGTGGGAAGAGCCCAATGAAACCGAGGGGGCTCCTCAGCCACAGAGAAGGAGGTCACGCCAGCTGCCCTGTCAGAGAAGGAGCAGGACTCACTTGAGCCAGCCTGGTGCGTCCACTGGCTGATGACGGGAGTCCTTGGGAGGAGAGGCCAGGGTGGCTTCAGGCTGGCACAGTCAGGGGATGGGACGTGGAAAACAAGAGTCCCCTCCCCAGAACAGGTTTCTGCTGCCCAATAAAACAAGTCCCTGAGACCCTGGGCCCTGGGCACACAAGTGCCCACTCATGGATGATCATGGCTGGCTGCGTAGTGCTGCTGGCACCGCCAGATGTCAGGGAGATTTGGATCCAGGAAACTATTCAGCTGTAAAAACTATTCAGGTAGTAAATTCCCTGGAATAAAAGCCTGGATGCTGGCCAAGGTAAATATATCTCAGGCCAAACAGGAGGAAAAGAAAGAAAGTGGCCAGGCACGGTGGAGAACCTTGTGCAAGACCTTGTCTAAAAGTAGAATTTTTTAAAGGGCTGGGTATTGCTCAGACAGAGGGCTGGTAGGTAGAATACATGGAAAACTCAAAAAAATTAGACAGCCCCAAAATAAAAGGCACAGTCCAAAAAATGGGCAGGAGAGATGAACAGTCCTTTCTCAGAAAAAGAAGTGCAAATGGCCAATAAATACACAAAGAAATGTTCTACTAACTGGGCGTGGTGGCACACGCCTGTGGTCCTAGCACTGGGGAGGCTGAGGTAGGAGGAGCCCAGTGAGTTTGAGGCTACCCTGGGCTACACAGTGAGTTCAAGGCCACCCTGAAATGCACAGTGAGACTTGTCTCAAACAAAACAAAACAATCCCAAAACAACAACAACAAAAACCCCAGAAGAAATAAAGAGGGGGATGCGGAGGGGCTGGGGATTTAGTTCAGTGGTTCTGCCACCTGCCTCGCAAGCACAAGGACCCGAGTTCCCTGGTACAAAAAAAAGGAAGAAAGAAATCTAATAATAACAAATACTGGCCAGACTCGGGGGGAGGGGAGGAAACTGTCTACACTGTTGGTGAGAATGTAAATTAGTACAACCACCATGGAGACCAGTGTGGAGAGTCCTCAAAAACTCAAAGAAATTCCATTCAGTCCCGTTTTTCCCCTTCTAGGAATCTTCCAGAAAGAGTTAAAGACATCACATTACAGCGATCCATGCATAACCCATGTTTACAGCAGCACAACTCATAACAGCTAAATCTCAAAAGTGGTCTATATGTCCATCAACAGATGAATGGTAAAAGAAAAGATAGTATTACACACAGTGGAGCACTACTCTGCCATAAAGAAGGATGAACTTGAGTCATTTGTAGGAAAATGGATGCACCTTGAGACCATAACGATTTTTTGGTACCAGAAATCGAACTCAGGACCTCACTCTTGCCAGGCAGTTGTAGAACCACTGAGCTAAATCCCCAGCCCTTGAGACCATAATGTTAAGTGAAGTATAAACAAAGAGCGAAATAAAAAACAGATGTTAGGAAGTAGGGAGATAGATCTTTATCAAATGGGAAGGGAATCGAGAGATGCAGAGGGGAGGAAGGGCAGGGAAAAGGGATGAAAAAGGAATTAAAATGTGTTCTGTCCATGCACCAGGCCCGCACAGGGAATGTGAACGTTATGTACTGTGAACACGGAGTAATAAAAATAAATTTAAAAAAAATTAAAAGGGCTGGGAATGTAGATCAGTGGTAGAGAACTTGTATGCATAAAGCCCATCCCCAACACCACAAAAAACAAAAAAGAAATCAAAGGTTCAGACCACACACCAGGGCTCCCCAGAGGCTGAAGCAGGAGGATCGCCCGAGAGTTCAAGGCCAGCTTGGGCTACATAGTGAGACCCTGCCTCAAAACAAAAATGAGGGCGGGGGATTTAGCACAGTGGTTCCGCCGCCTGCGGAACCAGAGTACGTGGGGAGTGACTGG